GGTCCTGTCGTCGCTCGCAGTTCTACGTCCCTTCCCTGTCCAGCAGTTCCCTCGGGCTCCCTTACAGGCCTCCACGTTCCCTCATTCTCGAGGAACCTGGTTGGTGTCGGCTGTCTTCAGGACCTCGGCGTCACCACCACGTTCCCCGGGCATGAGCGGTTCGCTGTCTGTTCTGAGGCTGTCTCAGGTTCCCCCCTTGCGACGTTCCCCCGGGACCCAGTGTCCGGTCTGTTTACCCTAGACACCACTTCCCCTCCGGTTGGTACGTCCTCCCAGGTTGCTGTTGCCTGCTCGTGTCGTTCCCTCACTCACCCGTCCCTCCTCTGGCACCACCGGTTAGGTCACCCTGCCCTCCCTCATCTGCGTCACCTGTCCCAGCACGGTCTTGTCTTAGGTCTCCCTGCATCGCTCCCCGCCCTTCCTCCCTCGACTGCGCCACCGCGCACGCCTTGCGTCGAGGGTCGGATCCGCCGTTCTCCTCACTCCTCCTCGCTGCGCCCTGCTACTGCCCCCCTTCAGACCCTGCACCTGGACGTTTGGGGCCCTGCCCCCGTCCCTGGACCGCGTGGTGAGCGCTACTTTCTTGTGCTCGTTGACGACTACACGCGCTACACCACGGTTTTTCCCCTGGAGCGGAAGGCCGACGTGCCCGACGTTCTTCTCCCGTGGGTTGTGGCTGCGCGTTTCCACCGCGGTCTCCCCGTATTGTGTCTCCACTCTGACCGTGGCGGCGAGTTTGCCTCTGGTTGGCTTGGACAGTTCAGTCGTGCGGAGGGCATCACCCAGTCGTACACCTTGCCAGACTCGCCACAGCAGAATGGAGTTGCTGAGCGCCGCATCGGCTTGGTCATGGAGGTCGCCCGTACCTCCATGATCCATGCCGATGCCCCCCATTTTCTGTGGCCGTTCGCTGTTCGCTACGCCGCTCACCAGCTTAACCTATGGCCACGCTCCCAGCGGCCGCAGGTTTCGCCGACCCTCCTTTGGACCGGATCCCCCGGTGACGCGTCTGCGTTCCACGTCTGGGGCTGCCTTGCTCACGTTCGTGCCTCTGGCACGGACAAGCTCACTGCCCGCACTGTCCCCTGTGTCTTCCTCGGTTTTCCCCTGGACTCGTCTGACTGGCTTTTCTACCACCCGCCGTCTCACCGCTTCCTCCACTCTCGTGACGTCACCTTTGACGAGTCTGTCTCCTTCTACCGCCGCTTCCCTCACCGAGGTCTCCCGGTTGCCCCGCCCCTGTTCCTCGCTCCCGCTCCCCCGGTAGCCCCTGCTCCTCTCCAGCCGCGTCCTGCCCCGTCTGGTGTCTCTCACGTCACTCCCTTCCCGTCGGTTGTCCCAGTTGAGGAGTCTGCTGACTCTGGTGGTTCCCCCGGTCTGTCCTTGCCGCATCCCCCTTCCCCGGTGCCTCCGGCCCCACTGTCGCAGTCGACGACCCCGCTGCAGCCGTCGCCGCTGCAATCGTCGCCGCCACTGCCGCGGTCGCCCGTGGCCCCTGGGGGTGCTGGTGTGGAGGCGGGTGTTTGTCCTGCGACTTCTGGGGGTGCCGCTGGTGTTGGAGAGGGTTCTCGCTCTGGGGGTGTTGGTTCTGGGGGTGCTGCTGTTGAGTGTCCTGCCGACGGTCGTTCTGCCTCTCCTGGTCCTAGCGTTCCGGCCCAGCCGTCGCCGCTGCCGCAGCCGCCGTCACCGCCGGTCTTCGCTCTCCGCGTGCTCGGCCTTCCCTCCCTGGACCACTCGCCGGTGTCTCCCCCGCCGCCTGCTGACCTTCCCGTCTACGGTCCTGTTTTCCTGCCGCCAGACTCGTCTCCGGCCCGTCTTCCTCCTCGTTCCCCTCTTGTGTCCCCTCCGCTGTCTCCTGACCCTACCCCTCAGTCCCACGTTTGGTCCCGCCGTCCCTCACGTGCCCGTCCCGCCTCTCCTGTTCTGCGCTCTCACCCTATGTTGCTCCGTTCCCACCCGTCTCGTCCTCCCCTCCTTCCCTCCCCTCCTCCCTCGTCGTTTGCTGTTGCGCCTCCTCCGTTCTCGGACTACCTCCGTGCCGCTCGTCCTCTTGTCCCTCGTGTTCTTGCCTCCCTCGTTACCGACCCTGCTGTTCCTGTCTCGAGCCTTGACGCGCTTGTCGCTGCTGTCGCTGACTTTGCCTCCACCCGCCGCCTTGACTACGCTACTGCTCTGGTCTCTGACCCTGCCCGTCCTCCGTCCGTCGAGAGTGCTCCTGCCCTTGGCAGTGACGTCCTAGAGGACAGGCAGTACGAGCGTGCTTTCATTTCTGAGGCTGCTCCCCATCTCTGCTCCATGCTATTAGTCCCTGAGGGTGACCCCGACGCCTTCGACATCCCGACCCCTCGCACCTACGCTGAGGCCACCTCGGGACCTTGGGCCTCTCAGTGGATAGCTGCCATGGAGCACGAGATGGCATCTTGGAGGTCCACCGGCACCTACGTCGACGCAGTTCCCCCACCTGGGGTGAACGTAGTCGATGGTCGGTGGCTCTTCAAGGTGAAACGCCCGCCTAGAGAGCCGCTTGTCTTTAAGGCACGCTACGTGGCCAGAGGTTTCAGTCAGCGCGAGGGGGTGGACTTCTTCCAGACCTTCGCCCCGACCCCGAAGATGACTACTCTTCGGGCGCTGCTACACGTAGCAGCACAGCGCGACTACGAGCTTCACTTCCTCGACTTCTGTACTGCTTTCCTTCAGGGCAGCCTACACGAGCAGGTCTACCTGCGCCGACCGCAGGGGTTCACTGGTACCTTCCCCCTTGGGACCCAGTGGCTTCTCAGGCGCCTGGTCTACGGCCTGCGTCAGGCTCCGCGCGAGTGGCACGACACGCTGCGGGCCACGTTAGCTGACCTGCAGTTCTTTCCGTCGTCCGCTGACCCCTCGCTGTTTGTGCGTTCCGGCCAGACTCCGTTCTACATCCTTGTCTACGTAGACGACCTGGTCTTTGCTACTGCTGACAGGGACGCACTGGCCTCTGTGAAGGCCGAGCTGCTGAAGAGACACACCTGCACTGATCTTGGAGAGCTGCGTCGCTACCTTGGCTTGCAGATCTCTAGGGACAGAGCAACACGCACCATCACTCTGACACAGTCACACTTGGTGCGTCAGGTCCTTCAGAGGTTCGGTCTTCAGTTCTCCTCCGCACAGCCCACACCTCTACCTGTAGACCACGGGCTTTCCGCTCCTGTTCCTGAGGAGCCAGTAGAGCCCAGCGGCCCCTACGTAGAGCTTGTGGGTTGCCTCATGTACGTGATGACCTGCACTCGCCCAGATCTCGCATACCCTCTCAGCATCCTGGCTCGCTTTGTGGCCACTAGCAGACACCGACCACAGCACTGGTCGGCCGCTAAGAGGGTTTTGCGATATCTAGCAAGTACATCAGGCATGGGGTTAGTGTTAGGAGGACGCAGGCCAGTGGTCCTCACTGGGCACACAGACGCTTCTTGGGCAGACGACTCTTGAGACGCTCAGGTCGTCGCAGGGCTACTGTTTTAGCCTTGGTTCGGGTGCTATCTCTTGGAGATCCACTCGCTCGTCGTCTGTTGCTCAGTCGAGCTGTGAGGCTGAGATCTACGCTGGTGCCATGGCGGCACAGGAGCTCCGCTGGCTGACCTTCTTGCTCACTACCTTAGGTGAGCGGCCTAGCTCTGCCCCGGTCCTGTACGCTGACAACAGGGCCATGATACTCCTGTGTCAGGAGCCTCGACTTGAGGGCAGAGCGCAGCACATCCAGCTGCGGTACTTCGTCCTGCGCGAGCTACAGCAGCGCCGCCAGGCCCGCGTAGTTCACTTGGCCTCTGGTGCCAACACAGCTGATATCTTTACGAAGGCGCTTGCGCCTAAAGATCATCAGCGGCACTGTGTACAGCTCGGTCTAGTTCCTGTAGCCACTCACTTGCTAGGACCGTGACGTTGTACTGTCTTATATATATCTATATATATGTACTCAGACTGGACTTGTGTCCTCTCCCAGTGGCCGGACTAGTTGTGCCGCCCTGGTCTTGTTCTTGTCTTGTCTGTACCCCGTTTTGACTGGTCCTTAGACCCTTGTCTCAGTGGCTGGACTAGTAGTGCTGCCCTGAGCTGCTTGTTCAGGATTTGCCCCTATGCAGTCTAGGGGGTGTGTCAAACATATGTATAACGTATATTGGTATAGACTGTATAGGGTCATCTCGTAGAGGGTACAACACTCTTAGGTATATACCCTTGTTGTCTCTCTCTATTCAATACTTGTTCAATTTTAGTTTCTGACATTGCTCGCTGCAATCACATATTTTCGTGGCCTAATTTTGCAATAAAGTTTCGTATTGTTTCTCTAAACCACAGAGGCGCAAACTGCATTTTGCATATTACATTGTGATGTTGATACTGTTGTATGCTATTCATAACGTTCCAGGTACATGCTATTACATCATGTACGAGTTACATACCAATTTTATTTGCAAAAGACTCTCGAGGTTCCACAAGCCTTCTGAAGTGAACCTGTTCGGAACCCCGTTCTCGCGTCACGCATATTGACGCAGGTAGTCCCCTCTCTATACATGTTTCGTCCAAGTTCTGCTTATTCGCATAACTTGGCGTTGGACCAGATCGAACCTAAACACGCCCCAGCTACAATGGGATTCCTCTCTCGCCATTTTGGCGGAAATTTTGGTTTGTCGTACATGGCTTTACCGCCTCGTCGCACGCGTTTCAATATCGCCCAATCTCCGGTAGGTGCGTAATATTGTGATTCAAACCTGCCCGTCTGCCCCAAACTTCTTATGGCAGTTTCGCACTAGCACCCCAGAGTTTTTCAAGTGCCCCCACTTTCAAGAGCGGCGCACTTGAAGCCCCCCCTTTGCTATTTTAGCCTGTGGTTTTAAGAACCATACGTTTTTTTACTGAAATTTTGACAATACCGTAGGGTGTTATATACGGGGGAATACGGTACATGTGTTGTATGTAGAAGCTATCCTAGGTGTGCTTCTAGTGAGTACAACCCCAGGAGGTATATGTTCTAGGTTGCACTTCATAGTCATCATTATCGTATTCTAACACTATTCTGTACTGGTTGATGCTTGGTATAGACAACCCACTGAGCCAGTCTCAAACTTCTAAAAAATCCAAAATTGAGGCATCCACACTAGCAATGGTGTATGACATGACAGGCAACCAGAAGCGAAGTCCAAACGGCTAAAAGGTGACGACTTATTGAATAAAAATCCACAATGTTCCTGGAAGGCACAAGCCAGAGATGCAAGGAAGAGAGCACGGATTAGGCTAGGTCAGACCTCTCACCCTACAATAAAAATTACATCTTATGGTGATTAAACTTTCACCATTGTTTAGTTGAGGTCCAGTAGCAGGATCAAAACAAGAGCCATTGTTTTGAAAGAAACAAGCCTTCTCCATAAAGCAAGCCAGCCAGAGCAAAAGCAAGGCATCCATTCAGAGCAAGCAAATGCAAGGCATCAAGCTCACCTATTGCGAGAGCAGGGTGATGAGCTCAGCCTTGGTGTCGCCCCTCACTCCCCTCTGGCGGGCCAGCGCTCTCAGCTCGCCCAGCGACTTGTTGACCAGCGAGGCTTTAGGAAGGGGTGCCACCCTGGTGGTGTTGGGGGGGGAGGGGAAAGGGGTGGCGGATTGATTAAGAACGGAGGCTATTGCAACAACAGAGACACATATTGTGAGGGGGTCGAGTAGTGGTGGGATTCACAAAACCATGCAGGTATAGCTGAAGAAACAGCTTTCAGCGATTGCCACGCCTGACTGAAAAGCCGTGACCTTAGTTTGAGGGCAGGGTACGAGGTGAAAAGTTGGACAAGGCCTGGTGGGACAGGGAGGGATGACTTACTTGGCAGCACCGTTGCCAGCAGGAGCAGCAGCCGCAGCAGGAGCAGCAGCCGCAGCAGGAGCAGCGGCAGCAGCAGCAGGCGCAGCGCCCAGGGCCTTGATGAGCTCAGCCCTGGTGTCGCCCCGCACGCCCCTCTGCCTGGCCAACGCCCGCAACTCCCCAAGAGACTTGCTCTCCAGCCCAGAGGCACCTCCCGCTGCTGGTGCAGCAGGGGCAGGCGCAGCGGCACGAGCAGGGGGAGCAGCAGGAGCAGGGGGAGCAGCAGGCGGGGGGGTCCTGCCTCCGTCAAAGGTGCCGCGTGAAATGGCATCAGCGTTGGCGTTTCCGAGTGCAGCCTCGTTGAGATAGGTGTCAGCCAGCTGGACGCGCTTCACGTTCTCCTGCTCCGACACCAGCAGATGCCCGTACTCCAGGAGGGTAGCCAGGGGCATGCTCGGCTTCTCGAATTCCGGCGGGCCAGAGCGGGAGTTGACCAGCTTCTTGCCCATGTTCTCGATGCCGATCGACCCCACCCAGTTGCGGACGAGGTCGTCGTACACTCTCGCGCGCAGCGCCCCGAAAAAGTCGATCGACTGCCCGGGGAAGGTGTCCACGAGCTGGACGACATCGCCCTCCGAGACGTTGTCTTCCCGGAAGATTCCCATGCAGACGCCGATGCGGTCGTCGCGCGTGGGCGCCCAGTAGAACTTGTCCATGCGCCCGTCACGGATGAGGGGGGCGTAGAGCGTGGAAAAGTCGTTGCCCGTGACGATGATGGGCACACGGTTGATCTCCTCCTTGTTGTAGATGCCCGGCATCTGGGGGGGGGAGGCGTAAGGGTGACGATGATGGGCACGCAGTTAAACTCCTCGTTGTAAATGCCCGGCATCTGGAGGCACGCGGTTGATTTCCTCAAGGGTGGGGGGTGGGTGTGTGAGGAGGGGAGGGGAGGTGTTGCGGACAATTCAGGGGGAAGGGGACCAAGCGTGAGGGAGAGGGTATTAGGCATAGCAACGTAAGGCACTTAGGTAGCCTCTAACCTCATGTGTGCGATTCATGTTGTCCCATAAGCTACCTTATCAGCGGACAGCGCCGGAAGTGGTCATCATACCAAGCAGTTATATTAAGAGCCACGCATAAGCAGATTCACGCACGCGCTTCAGCCGAGCGTCCTCCGGCCGGAGTACTCACTAACTGCAAACATGCCGGTTCTGACTTTTGACGTTAGTTGTTCACTCTCAACCCCGTTACAAAACATGTCGTTGTAAGCACTCAAGCCCACGCCGACACAGGCGATATTCATTGGACCGCATTTAACCCTAAAGAAGGGTTTGTCGCCGATATTCATAAGCGTGGCGTTCACCATCTGGTTGTTCACCGTGCGCTGCGTCGCCCCAACAGACATGCCGTCTCTAGCATCCACTGCGTCGTGCCGCCCAGCCGCCCCACGATTTACCCTACCTGCACGCACCTGCTGTACTTCTCGCCAAAATTACCCCGAAATCTAAGGATCATCGCGGAGATTACCTGGACATTCGTGGGGTTGTCGGCGATATTCATAAGCGTGGCGTACACCATCTGGTTGTTCACCGTGCCGGCCAGACGCCACAAGAAGTACCCTGTGCATGCACTAGCTGGGGTTTAGGCCCAGATTACCCTCGAATTAGTGGGGCTTCTCGAAGATTACCTGCACGTCGGTGGGGTTGTCGGCGATGTTCATGAGCGAGGCGTTCACCATCTGGTTGTTGACGGTGTTCTGCGTCGTGCCGCCCAGCAGGCCCAAGAATCACCCAGCCTGTACCTGCTGGAGTTCTAACCATGATTCCCACCAAAAAGGAAAGGGGTATTTTGAGAATTACCTGGACATTCGTGGGGTTATCTGCGATGTTCATGAGGGTCGCGTTCACCATCTGGTTGTTCACGGTGTACTGCGTCGTGCCGCCCAGCCGGCCCGCACCGGCGTCCAGGTCGTTGATGAAGAGCGCGCACATCTTGCCCTTCTTAATGAGGTCCGCCGCCTCGCGGTAACGCTGGGAGAAGGAAAAAGGGGGCGACATTAAGGGAAAACGGGAGAGAAGGGTGGAAAGAATGACGAGTGGCGCACGTCTTACAGTAATGACGAAGGACGAGGGACGAGGGAATGCTACAACACGAAAACGAAGGAAAAGAGAAAACGATGCATGAACAACAAAGGACGAAGGACGAAGAACGAAGGATGAAAGGTCAAGCATAGCAAAAGCACTACGGTGCTCAACTGACAAATGAGCCCGAGCCTCTCGGTTCAGCTTGCCACCTGGCGAATGAGCTTGGCGCGCTCACCTGGCGAATGAGCTCGGCGCGCTCACCTGGCGAATGAGCTCGGCGCGCTCACCTGGCAAATGAACTCGGCGCGCTCACCTGGCGAATGAGCTCGGCGCGCTCACCTGGCGAATGAGCTCGGCGCGCTCACCTGGCGAATGAGCTCGGCGCGCTCACCTGGCGAATGAGCTCGGCGCGCTCACCTGACGAATGAGCTCGGCGCGCTCACCTGGCGAATGAGCTCGGCGCGCTCACCTGGCGAATGAGCTCGGCGCGCTCACCTGGCAAATGAGCTCGGCGCGCTCACCTGGCGAATGAGCTCGGCGCGCCTACCTGCCGAATGAGCCTCACCTGGCGAATGAGATCGGCGCGCCTACCTGCCGAATGAGCCTCACCTGGCGAATGAGCTCGGCGCGCTTACCTGGCGAATGAGCTTGGCGGGCTCGCCGGCGTTGCCGCTCTCGAGCTCTCCCGCGGAGATCATGATGGGGTTGATGCCCATCTTAGCGAACACCAGCTCGCACTGTAACGCGGACAAGCAGGCACACAGACGTTGGCAACGGATGGACGCGATTAGACGTGGATAAGAGACGACGCCTAGATTTTTGAGGCGCCTCAAAAACACATAGATAGGTAAAAGACACGACGGGTTAAGGACACGATAATACGAATGCAACCAGAAGCATTGAACGTGGATGCACGATGGGAAAAAAATACAGTCAAATACTTGAAAATCGAAAGGGGGATGGGAGGAGAGGGGGGGGACGGGGGGGACGGGGGTGGGGGAGGGAGGAGGGGAGGGAGAGAGAGAAGCAACGCCAAGAAGGGAGCAAAAGAGAAGCGGAAAGGCCCTCGACACCGCGTAAAGACGCACCTGGAAGGACTTGCCCTGGCCCTTGCCGCCCCAGATGCCGAGGATGAGCGGCACGCGGATGTTAGGAAGCGCCATGAAATTTTTGCAGATGTGCACCACCATCTTGTCCATGAAGGCAGGGGCGATGTAGAGGCCTTCAGCGGTGACGTTGCTCAGACTGCACACGGGGGAGAGAGAAGGGGGAGGAAAGGGGAGACATTAAGTTCTTGCAGATGTGCACCACCATCTCGTCCATGAACGCCGGCGCGATGTAGAGACCCTCGGACGGCTGAGAGGCAACTTGCAGATGTGCACCACCATCTTGTCCGTGAACGCCGGCGCAATGTACAGGCGTTCTGCGATCACGTTGCTCAAGCTGGCAAGGGACGGGGTTTGGCGAGGGGATGGGAGGGGAGGGGAGGGAAGGGAAGGGAGAGGGAAGAAGGGAGTGGAGGGACAGAGACGACTGAGAGGCAGCGGCATGAAGTTCTTGGAGAAGGCCTCTCGCAGATGTGCACCGCCATTTTGTCCGTGAGCGCCGGCGCGATGTTGAGACCCTCCCGCTGTGCCGCGGCTCAGACTAGCTGGCGGACGACACGGCGCGGAACGAGGTGAGAGTTACGGGGATGGTTCAACGACGTTCGCAAGTGGCGTTCCGGAGGCAAATCGAAACGAGTCGCAGAAGTGGAGGAGGGGAGAAGCCGCCACGCAAAACGATGGACAGGCAGGGCTCGGGAGGAGAACGGTACTGTCTTAGCCTCTAAACGAAGAAGAAGAAAAAAAAACAAGAGATGAGAGACGCAGAGGAAACGCATAGTGGCAGAGGAGACGCAGAAGCAAGAAAGCGTGACGTACTTGCGCTGGCCCTGGCTCATGTAGTCGTACGAGCTGAGCACGGCGGCGTGCGTGCCCTGCCCCCAGCCGCCCTGGAACGCGCTGTCCACCATGCCCTTGCCGCGCGTGATGTCCTGCTGGTCGTCCGAGATGTCGCGCCCCAGCCCCGCCCACCGGTCCTGCGCCATGCACTGCACGCGCGCGCGCCCCGCGGGGGGGGCTCCGGCGAGCCGCGCGCCCGCGAGGGTCGCATTGCTGGAGAGCTGCGCGGACGAGCCGAGCAGCGCGGAGGAGGCAACCTGCAGGCGGGTAGAGGGAGAGGAGATGGCGGAGGGACGGAGAGAGGGAGGCGGGGTAACTTAGGAAGGAGGAGCATGGTCAGACGAAGCGTATGTCATGGAGTAGGGAGATTAAATGTGTTTATTGAAAAGGGGGGCGAGCTGGTAATACGGTGAAGAAAGTGTTAGGGTAGGAGGAGGACGGACCTTGGCAGAGAGAGTAGTGGAAGCCATGGCGTCTGCTAGCCAAGAGCGGAGAACGAGGAGCGAATGCAGGGACGAAGGCAAACTGAGCAAGCTACTCTCGTTCGAGCAAGCACAACTCGAGGAGAATGTGTGTGTGCTTCAGACTTGGTGGTCAGGAAACTACACGGCTAGGAGGACAAGCCTGTGTAGGACGGCCAAGGCAGCGGCAGCTTACAATTGCAATGGAAGTGGTTGGTGAGAAAAGCAGAGTCAACTGATTGGCAATTGGCAGCCATGGCTGGCTGGCTGCTGCTTGCCACCACAGATGGTGGATGAGAAAGGATCACCACATGCCACGTCGGACAGAAGTCACGGGGCACGGAGAACTCGGGAAGCGCCACGGTCAAACGCGAACCACGCTGGCCTCGAGGAGTGATGAACCACAAGCTGTCGGCTCGCAGATTTTTGCCGCGTGGCTGACGGGTCGGTATCGGGGAAATCTCAGCCACCAAATCGCAAAAACATTTCATCAGGCCTGGTTTCGGGCCAAGCTTTTGGAGCCACGAGATCGGCGCTTTTGAATCTGGACGGGATCACAAGGCACAGCTTGCTGGGCTGGCCACATCAAAACCACGTCAGCGATCCCTCCGTGGATAATGAGAAAAGTTTCACTCTGTTGTACTGCCCGTAACCAAAAAAAAAATCCACCTCGGCTGCTCAGTCAGCATTCTGTCCTCCCACCAGCAGTCGTGAGGCAAACGGCCGTTCGTGAACCTAGACCCAAACCGTCGGGTTACAGTCCGACGTGGAGCATGCCAGCATGGCCAAACGACTTGTGAGATGGCTCTTTTCGAGGCCTGCCACGCTGGCAGCCCGATCTATCGCCCAACCATCGTCAATTTCCGAGCCAACAGTTTCAGCTGGGATGAATCTTGCCGGGAAATTCGTCCCGAGCCGCCAATGCCCAGGACTCCTGGCTGAGCTGGCCGGAGGAGTTCTCCCGCCCGCCTGCTGGGCTCTGCTCCGCCCCTCCCTCCGTGCCTCCCCCGCCATCTCCCCGCGCACGGCAACCGCCCGAGGGCGCCGAGGCACTCCAGGGAGGGAGGGGGGGAAGTGAGTCGCGACGCAGAGAGGGTGAGTGACGCCACGGCAGCCAAGGGCTCTCCACTTCGACATCTAAATTGAGGCGAGCTGAGACCAGGTTTCGAAAACTGACTTCTGTCTGCTCGCCTGCTGCTCGTCTGCTCTCACGTCGCTGACAAGTTAGTTTGTCCGAAACTCCCTTCTTCAGCCAACTTGTCAGCAAGCAGCAGCCATGGCCGCCATTGCTCAGAAGGTACTTGTCCTCGCCAGTGTAATCCCGCTCGCGTCTCAGAGCAGGAACAAGCTCTTACGTCTACTTTTTAATATGGTTGAAAAGGCGTCGACCTAAACTCATCATCGATTATAAACTCTTCAACTTTCATCTGCTAAGTGGCCATTCTCATCCCGATCTCGGCGTGACTAACCATTTCCTTCTGCATCCATTCTGCGTCGTCTCTTCCATCTCTTTCTCCCCCTTCCTCCTGTCTCGTTCTCTCTGCAGTCCGTCTTCCTCGCAGCACCTGCTCTCTCCTCCTTGGAGCAGGCTCGCGCCGTCTCCACCACTGTGTCGCTCCCAGCATTCCAGGCCAAGCAGCAGCGCCGCTCGCTCGTCGCCACCGCAGCGCTGACCGCGCGCGACCTGCAGACCAAGTCGTTGGAGCAGCTGCGCGCCATTGCCCGCCAAAAGGGCATCGTCGGCAACAGCAAGGGCCAACTCATCGCCGCTCTCACCGGGTGAGTGCCGCAGCTGCCTACTCGCACGGCCATTGTGATTGCTTCAGTAATCGTCGCTCTATTCAACATGGTTTCCTCCAGCGGTCGCCTTCTTCGCTCACCGTTTTGTTTCGTCCATCGCTTCAACTCCCTTTCGTTGATGTGACACACGACACTGCATATGCAATGCCTAACCAATCCCACCGTCTCCTCCATTCTCTTCCTGTTGCTCGCAGCAATGCTGTCGCAGCCAAGCCTGCGTCGTACGGCGGCGCCGCCCCCGCTGCCGCCGTGTCGGGCGACGAGGCGGTGCTTCAGGGCAAGTCTCTGGGCGAGCTGCGCGCGCTCGCCGCCGCCAAGGGCCTCCGCGGCGACACCAAGGCGGAGATCATCAAGCTGCTCCTGTAAGCGCGCTGTCTGTCGACCGTCGGTCGGTCATTGTCCGCTGTTTGCTGTAGCAGCCCCGTCGGGAGTAGCAACCACTAGGACTCGCGTCATTTCGCTGGTCTTTTTCCTCAGGTTATGCCTGTTTTTTCTTCTCCTTGTTCACCCAGTTTGTGAAATCTCTAGTGACGTGGCTAACGGCATGCATTCCTCTCTCTCCCAACCGCAGGAGCGCCGGCGGCCTCGCCCCTACCCCGAGCCCCACCCCAATCTCCATCTCCGCGGAGGCGCGCACCCCCGTGGTCCCCGCGGCGGCGTCCGTTTCCGACTACCAGCGCCGCCTGCAGGTCAAGCCCATGAGCAAGCTGCGCGCCGTTGCGCGCATGCGCGGAGTCGTGGGGAACACGCGCGCGGAGCTGGTCGCGGGGCTGCTGGCGTTCCACTCTAAGTCGGGCGCAGCGGGCGCGCAGGCCGCCGCGCAGGACAAGCCCGAGATCGTGGGGCAGCTCGAGAGCCTCGCGCTGAGCGAGCTGCGCGCGCTCGCCAAGGCGCGCGGAGTGCGCGGAGACACGCGCAAGGAGCTGATCAAGCTGCTGACGTAAGTGGCCGTGTCCTGTTGCCCCCTTTTCCCCTCAGTCAATCCGTACCCCCGTACCCTTGGTTTAGTAACAAACATAGAGCGTTGGAATCACATTAAGAACGCAATCTAGTGAATGCCTTGCCAGTTCAATTCAGCGTCTAAACTAGATCGGTTCCTTGCTGCCTCTTTCCCCCTTCCCCGATACAGCGGCACTGATGCGCCCAAGGCCGCTGCTCCCGCCGCCGTCTCATACACCAACGGCAGCGCCGTTGCTTCCTCGTCGTACTCGTCGCCCTCGTACTCCGCGCCCGCGTCTTACTCCGCATCCACCCGCCCCAACGCGCGCGACCTCGCCACCAAGTCGCTGGCGCAGCTGCGCGCCATTGCCGCCCAACGGGGAATCCGCGGAAACACGAAGCAGGAGCTGGTGAAGGCTCTGACCTCGTAAAGAAGATAATTCTGAAAGGGGGTGATTTTGATCTCTGGGGGATGCTTATGTTACTTGTATGCATTTTAGGCCGCCACGAATTTGTCTCCTTTTTTGGGCGCTAGAGCCTTCAAGAGTTAAATACGAAAATTTTCCAACTGCCATGTGCCCAGAGGGGTGGGGATTGGGGAAACGGATGGGTCAGGGATAAGGATGCGCAAGATGGTGCTGCAGTTGATGCAAACAGCTGGTACTTGGTTTGGAGGGGAGTGCAATGAAGTGTGTAGATAGGATACGAGGGGTGAGACTAAGACAGCCCCAATGCACACACCCAACCAAGAATAAGCAAAGCAACTCCCTCCTGTGCTCTACACATACGCCTCCAAAACGCCCAGTGTGCTGTAGATGGTACTGTGCTGTGGGGCAGAGGTGCAGGTCATGGTGTGGCACCCCTGACCTGTCGGCCCTGGCCCTGATCCTGCTGGCTGGCTATACCCCTGTTGATTGGCTCACTGCAGAGTTTTGCTGGTATAGTAGCAAGCAAGCACAAACCGTACGTCTCTTCCCGCGTGCTCACTATTGGCCTGAGTCTCAAGCTGAGTGCGCCCCCTCCCTCCGCATGGGCGCATTGTTCTTAAGAACATGCATTGTGCGCTCCAAGCGCACAAGTGCCACGACACGCTCAGTTGAAGGCACGGACTCACGCACGGCACGGGGTGTGTTGTTGGTTGGTGAGTGAGAGCTCCCTGGTGTAGGCCATACGCCAGCCCAACAAGGCCCGACAGCGTGCGGATTTGATCTGAACACAGCACAGAAGCTCCCTGTTGGAAGGCATTAGTGGCCTCAGGAACGAAGCTCCATGTGTGGAGTCTATTTTTGAGGCGCCTCCAAAAAATTCTGAACACAGCAGAGAAGCGCCCTGTTGGCATTGCGAACAAAGCTCCAGAAGCAAATAGTACTTTGGTGGGGCAGAGTGGAGATCGGATTCTGCAAAAAAAACTGAGTGCCAGCTGTTGATAAAGCCTTCCATCCATAGCAGGAGAAGCACAGAATCTTGACACCAGCAGTCAAACTTGTCAACTTATACATATTATCTATGTAGAAGTTATAGGCTAGACTGAGGTATGCTTCTAGTGAGTACAACCAACTAGTATTTGTTCTAGGTTTCCACCTCTAGTAATCATTCGTTTCTACGTTAACATGGTATCACGCTTAGGTTAGGATCCCCCCGCCTACCGCTTCCGCCCGTCGCGCCTCCTAGGCCCCGTCGCGCCCCCTAGGCCCCGTCGCGCCCCCCCTGGGCCCCGTCGCGCTCGTTAGGCCCCGTCGCGCCCCCCCTGGGCCCCGTCGTGCCCACTGGGTCCCGTCGCGACCCCTAGGCCCTAACGCGCCCCCGCTGGGCCCCGTTGCGCCTCCTAGGCCCCGTCGCGCCCCCCCATGGGCCCCGTCGAGCCCGCTGAGCCCCGTCGTGCCTCCTAGGCATCGTCGCGCCTCCTAAGCCCCGTCGCGTCCCCCCCCTCTGGGCCCCGTCGCGCCCGTTCGGCCCCGTCGCGCCCCTCCTAGGCCCCGTCGCGCCCGCTGGGCCCCTTCGCGCTTCCTAGGCCCCGTCGCGCCTGCTAGGCCCCGTCGCGCCCCCCCTGGGCCCCGTCGCGCCCGTTAGGCCCCGTCGCGGCCCCCCTGGGCCCCGTCGTGCCCGCTGGTCCCCGTCGCGACTCCTCGGCCCCGTCGCGCCCCCCCTGGGCCCCGTCGTGCCCGCTGGGCCCCGTCGCGCCCCTTAGGCCCCGTCGCGCCCGCTGGCCCCTGTCGCGCCTGCTGTTAGCGCTCGCCCGCCTGGCCTCCTCCTAGTGCCGCTCGGCCTCCTCCTAGTGCCGCCCGGCCTCCTCCTAGTGCCGCCCGGCCTCCTCCTAGTGCCGCCCGGCCCCTTCCTAGCGCCGCCCGGCCTCTCCTCAGCGCTGCCCGGCCCCTCCTCGTGCCCGACCGGCCCCAGCAGCACCAGCCTGGCCCCTCCCAGCACCAGCCCGGCCCTAGAGCACCTGCCCGCCTCCCCTGCTCGGCCTGCCGTGTCCTCTCGGGCCCTGTGTCTTCTGCTTGCCTGCGCTGGGACGCCTAGCTGCTGCCCTACTGGAGAGTGCTGCCGCCGTGTCCCCGCGCCGCTGTGCTCCTGTGCCGCTGAGGAGCTGTGCTGCTGTGCCGCTGTGTCGCTGAGGAGCTGTGCCGCTGACCCTGCACGATGGCTGACTTTGTGCTCCGCCTGGACGCTGAGGGCCACGCGGTTGACTTCGCCGCCTGGCTCTCCGATCTTCGCCGCCAGCTTACAGGTCAGCGCCAGGATGGCCACTCTCTGGTTGTCCATGCTGATGGCTTGCTCCCCCGTCCCCCTGCACCTACTCCCCTCCCTGCTGACCCCTCCTCTGATGACCGTGAGGCTTTCTCTACTGCTGCGCTAGCCTGTGCGGTCTGGGACTCACGCGATGCAGTAGCTCAGGTTGCTATTAGTCACGCCCTCCCTGTGTCTGAGCGCTCGCGTTTTGCTACTGTTGAAACGGCCAAAGCTTATTTAGAAGCCGTTATTGCTCGCTATTCCACCCCTGCCTCCGCTTCTGCTGGCCGCTTGCTCTTTCCGATGCTGTTCCCAGACCTGGCTGCCTTCCCTACTGTCGCAGATTTTGCCACTCATTTGCGTGCCCTAGAGACTCGCTATCGCACTGCCAGCACTGCTGCCCAGCTCACTGCGCTCCCCCCTCCTTTCTGCATGACGCTCTATTTTATCGCTATGCGCCTGCCAGACCGCCTCGCTAGTGCTCGCGACCACTTTCTTAGCCAGCACCCGGGTGACCTCACCCTGACCGCCTTTGTCGACACCCTCACTGAGATCGAGACTCGCCAGCGCACTATCGCTCAGTCGAGCGGTGCGCCGGCAGTCTCTATCTTTCACGGTTGTGCCCCATCCCCGTGCACGTTCACTGACGTTTCGGCTGCGGTCGCCACGGCGACCCCTCTTACCGAGACGGCTGCTGCTGTCCACCCGCAGCAGCGCTCGCGTCGCGGTGGCCGTGGCCGCCAGGGAGGTAGGGGTGGTGACGCAGGTGGTAGTGGTCGTGGTGGTGGTGACGGTAGTCCGCCTGAGGGGACTACCACCGGTGGGCAGGAGCAGCAGTCCCAGCAGCAGCAGGACCAGCCCCAGCCGCAGCCGCCGTCCCAGCAGCACCCGCCGCAGCCGTGGGCTCGTCTCCCGCCTGGTTGGCCCGGCACCTCCGGAGGCGGTGGCCGTGGTGGCGGCCCGCGCAGCTTGGCGTCTACCAGCGGCTCCAGTGCTGTGACCTGCCAGTACCAGCTTCAGACCGGGCCTCTCCGCGGCACTCTGTGCCGCCGCCCGCACCCGACCGCCCACTGTTTCCGCCGCCTCGACGATCTTTTTCGTCGTCGCTTTGGCCCGGCCCCGGACCTCCCTGACTGGCACAGCCTGCTCCGCCAGGGCGTGCCGATCTTTGAGTTAGACATGGATCAGATAGGTGCTGCTTTGCATGCTTTGCATGCTGACGCTTCTAGTGTTGATGGATCTTACTACCATGTGTACTCTAGTTTAGGTGTTTCACCCTTGTGTAGCTTAGCTTCCCCTGCTGCGACAGGCGTAGGACTGCCTAGGTTGCCTAGTCTAGTCGCTGCACCGGCTCCGTCCGCGGCCTCCGCCACTGCGTCGCTGTCCTTCACTCTCGACTCTGGTGCTTCTGCCTGCTTCTTCCGCGACCGTTCCACGCTCACGCCGCTTGCTGCACCTGCTGTTGTCTCTCTCGCTGACCCCTCTGCGGGTCCGGTCGTCGCGCGCAGTTCTACGTCCCTTCCCTGTCCGGCAGTTCCCTCGGGCTCCCTTACTGGCCTCCACGTTCCCTCGTTCTCCAGGAACCTGGTTGGTGTCGGCTGTCTCCAGGACCTCGGCGTCACCACCACGTTCCCCGGGCACGAGCGGTTCGCTGTCTGTTCTGAGGCTGTCTCAGGTTCCCCCCTTGCGACGTTCCCCCGGGACCCGGTGTCCGGTCTGTTTACCCTACACACCGCTTCCCCCCCGGTTGGTGCGTCCTCCCAGGTCGCTGCAGCTTGCTCGTGTCGGTCCCTCACTCACCCCTCCCTTCTCTGGCACCACCGCTTAGGTCACCCTGCTCTCCCGCGTCTGCGTCACATGTCCCAGCACGGTCTTGTCTTAGGTCTCCCCGCGTCGCTCCCTGCCCTTCCTCCCTCGACTGCGCCACCGTGCACGCCTTGCGTCGAGGGTCGGCTCCGCCGTGCTCCTCACTCCTCCTCGCTGCGTCCTGCTACTGCCCCCCTTCAGACCCTGCACTTGGACGTTTGGGGCCCTGCCCCCGTCCCCGGACCGCGCGGTGAGCGCTACTTCCTTGTGCTCGTTGACGACTACACGCGCTACACCACGGTGTTTCCCCTGGAGCGGAAGGCCGACGTGCCCGACGTTCTTCTCCCGTGGGTTGTAGCTGCGCGTCTCCACCGCGGTCTCCCCGTGTTGTGTCTCCACTCCGACCGTGGCGGCGAGTTCGCCTCTGGTCGGCTTGGACAGTTCTGTCGTGCGGAGGGCATCACCCAGTCGTACACGTTGCCGGACTCGCCACAGCAGAATGGGGTTGCTGAGCGCCGCATCGGCTTGGTCATGGAGGTCGCCCGTACCTCCATGATCCATGCCGATGCCCCCCATTTTCTGTGGCCGTTCGCTGTTCGCTACGCGGCTCACCAGCTTAACCTGTGGCCACGCTCCCAGCGGCCGCAGGTTTCGCCGACCCTCCTTTGGACCGGGTCCCCCGGTGACGCGTCTGCGTTCCACGTCTGGGGCTGCCTTGCTCACGTTCGTGCCTCTGGCACGGACAAGCTCACTGCCCGCACTGTCCCCTGTGTCTTCCTCGGTTTCCCCCTGGACTCGTCTGACTGGCTTTTCTACCACCCGCCGTCTCACCGCTTCCTCCACTCTCGTGACGTCACCTTTGACGAGTCCGTCTCCTTCTACCGCCGCTTCCCTCACCGAGGTCTCCCAGTTGCCCCCCCCCTTTTCCTTGCTCCCTCTCCCCCGGTAGCCCCTGCCCCTCTCCCGCCTCGTCCTGCCCCGTCTGGTGTCTCCCACGTCACTCCCCTCCCGTCGGTTGTCCCCGTTGAGGAGTCTG